CTTCACCCTTTTTACCTATGTGATCCCTACTATGCAGGATGTAGCCCTCTATAGCTACGGTCCAATCATAGGTAGAGTCCCACCAGACCTCTGTTATTTCTATGACATTGTAGTCCCTGCTGGAAAGAAGAGGGGGCCAGTTCCTCCTGTTTGTTCTCCATGCTCCTGGCATTTGTGTATAGGCATTTGAGCCTTCCACTGGAGGTCCCCAGTTTCCTGTCACATTGAGGGAGCTCCATTCCCTCAGCTCGTGCTGTAGTGTCCTTCTTGTTGTCTCCTGTTGTAATGGTTTGTTGGTCCCTGGCCTTGTTCCACTCATTGTCCCCCCCATCCTCCAGCAATCTCAGTTTAAAGCCCTGTCTAGGAGGTCCGCCATCCTTGCCAGGAAAAGAGCCTTCCCCTTTGGCCTGAGGTGGATACTGTCCTTTCTCAGAAGACCTGTCTCTGAAGTGCATGCTGTGGTCAAGGAAGCCGAAACCCTCTCAGTTGCACCATCGCTGGAGCCTTCAGTTCACCTCTTCAATACATCCATCTCTCCTAGGCTTACGGCCCGTAACTGAAAGGATGGAGGAGAAAAATACCTGTGCCCTCAATCCCTTAAGCCCCATAATTCTTGTAGTTAAAAAATATTGATGATGATATTTTAAGTCACTGCTGTAAGCTTTAGTGTAACTCTTCAGTAATATCAGCTGAAGGGCAGAAATGATAGAAAAGTAACTGAGAAGGAAAATACTTGAACTTGTTAAGAAAGCTACAACTTTCACATTACTCTAAACTGTACTTAAGAAGAAAGAGGAGAGATACAAATGAAGCACCTTATCTGGGGGGAAAATATGTTCCTTCTTTCTTCCCTCTAATTAAAATGGTAGTTGCAAAGGAGGTCGTAATCGCTGATTGTATCAAAATGTTGATAAATCATTGGAAGTAAAAATAAGGCTACCTGAATTCAGAGTTTTTAGCATATTTTAAGTGTTCATGGATACTGCCTAAGCAGCTGCCCACCAACTGAGGATGTTTTAAGTATGTGGGAGCTGTTTTGGCAGGCATGCCATAAATTAGCCCCACACCCTCCCTAAGAGCCATTCCAATCCCTTTCTTCTGCCCGAGTAGCTGCTCTGCTTACTGCTCCCTACTCTATGCTCCATGCCCAAACTCCTGGTCTACTTTCTGCTCACTGCCCAATCTGTTGTATGCCACACACAGAGGCTGCCCTTGACATTTGTGGTATTCATGCTGCAGATTGGCCACCCCTGTTTTAGGTGATTTGAACTGATCCAATGAAATTTTAAGAGTTTCTTTGCTTTGTTAGCAACAAGCTATACTGGCTCATAAGAGAACAGTAGGCCTAATTTTGTTATTGTGGTCTTATGTCCTGCTTACATGAGTTTAAAAACTTTTCATTTTAGGTTTTTTTTAATGTCTACACAGACAGATTACAGGTAACTCAAGAAACCCAGTGTGCTTCTGTCTTGCCACTTGCATCTAAACTACAAGTTCTTTGTACTAATACTTGTAAATTCTTCCTATTTAGAAGAGTCAAAGGTCTTCCCAAGTCTACATGGTCCATGCTAGCATGGTTAGGGCACTACTGACTACTGTAGCCAATGTACCTGAGAAAGCAATGTGGTTAGCCTCACTTGTTGCCCACCTTTCACTGTCCAAAGATCTGGTATTGATCTACGATGGGGCTACGTACAGACAGCCTTCGGCACAAGTCCAAAATGAGGCTCTAGAGCTGCAGCAGGATTCTTAACCACTTTGTTGTTGAACCACTTTAAAAGGTGGAAATCATAAAACTGAAAGCAAATGTTTAGGTTGGAAATAAATCTAAGAATATGGAGGGGAAAGGATTCTTCCACTCTCAAAATACGTTACACTTATTTAATGTCTAAAAATCAAGAGTCATTTCTATTAAAATTATTGTAATGCTTCATTTGGAGCCACATCTTCCATGAACCATCAGCTAATTTGTCAGGCAAAAAAAAAGACTGGTCTCTCTAATACAGAATGTTGTTTTCAAATATTTCTGAACAGATTATTTGCAGAACTTTTTGAAGCTAAAATAATACAAGTTGCCCTGCATAATACAGCTGGAATTTGCCTGAAGCTATACTATTCATGTGAACAAAAGTTGGAGTGCAACGTAATATTTTTTTTGTTTTAAGCCATCTGTAGCTTAGCCAATGCTACACAAATAATTCAAAAGAAAAATATTCTCAAAAGAAACATTGGGTGGTGGGGAAGGCATATGCAGAAGGACATACTGTGTTTACCATTTAGAACACTTTGCAACTGAAAGCTTTTTATTTTACTAGGACATTACAAAAATATTAGCCTAATCTTCTCATGTTTGAACTAGGAGTTAGCCAAATGTATGATAGGATTGAAGCCTTCTGGATACATTCCGTTTCTGAAGGACAATAGCATATCAGTTTACAGTGCAAGCCAAAGGACAGAGAAACGCCTTACTGTGCCCTGTTAAAGGGGAAGAAAATATTTGAGCACTCTATGCCATGAAGAGTTGCAAACCTGATGGCAGTCAAAATTTTAGAATCAACCTTTGGTCCACCTTTTTTTTTAATTATCTCTCTTGTACAAGAGATTGACAATAGAGAACTCCTTTCTCTTTGTATTACAGGTCTAGTTCAGTACACAGGGCAGTGATGTAAGCTTTCCCATCACCCCTATAGCAATGACTACACATGAGATTTCATAGATAATTTAGCTTTCCTCTGCATAACTTAGGGGGCCAGCTGTAACAGTTGGTAACTCTTGCTAGCATGACTGAATGTACTGGACTTCAAATTAATGGGAGATGCAGGAAACCATGAATCCTATTAACATAAGCTTACATTTCCTAGTTTCTCTGAAGTTATCATTTTACTAGACAGTTCCTCCTGTCACTATCAAAATATCTGCTCCGATAGAAACCCTTGGATTTGCTAAGGCTTGATTGTATTAAAAGTTAAATCCTTTTGTGGGTCAGAACCTAAGTGGAATTTAGACACCACAATCTAATAGTACAATCCTTAACACCTTACTTAGTCCCTTAGGTGCTTAAGTTTTCACTAGTAAAGTTCCTTCGGCTCCTGAAGTTCTGCTTCTGCATATGCCCAGAACTGCCACTTCCTTGGTAAGACTGAGCATCTCAGCCCAATCAAAATCCTCAAATAAGATGTCCCCTCAGAGGGATGCAATCATCTTGTGTGGATCTAGGGAGGCTGCTCTGAACATTATTTTGCCTGAAATACTCCAGGTTTCATATTATGAGTGGAGGGGCCAAAAAACTCCAGCCCCAGTATCCCCAAACTTTGGATGTAGTTGAAGCTTTGTAAGTCCCATTCTTCCTTATCCTTGTTATACCCCATGCATAACAGGAAATTAAAAACAAAATTGGCATGTCACTCATTTAATAACTGAACCTGAACAGAGTGCTCAAGTAGTGCCCAAGGGTTCAAAGGAAGTGAAACAGATTGAAGAAGGGTTGGGATTCCTGATTATGTATGCCATTATGATCAGAGAGTGTGCCAATACCTTTTTTCATAACATATCTACAAGCACACGCTGCGGAAAAAAAACAGAAAAATGCTCCAGCCCAGAGATGTTAAACTGTTAAGAGTTATGAAGTACAAGCAAGCAAAACAACAAGAAGTTCATTTTTTGATAGAAAATCTCTTATAAAAATAAATGCAACTGGCTTCTAAGCAAAGTATCTTGTAAGACATTAGTTCCTACACAAACACAGATCTCCTTAATTCATGGCAATGACTAAAGGACCATATTTACTGAAATCTAGTTAACCCTGAATTTAAGATGACCCTCCCATAATTAGAATCTTTATATAGAAAACGTATACATTTATTATAATTTTCCAGGTATAGAACCTGATTATTGGAAAGTTGTCTTAAATTTGTCTCGTCCACTCTCCTCTCCACTGCTATAGCGAGGAAAACAGTAGCCGGGGCAGGGGGCAAGGGGGTCAGGTGGCCTCCTTGTCCTCTTCCCCCCCTCCCCTCCTCCGCACTTGCAGCCTTCCTGCCACTGGCACCCTCTCCCATCCACAGGTATATTTAACAAAAATACACCACTAACCATTACAAAGTTGGTTACATGGAAAATGTACACGTGCAAGTGATCAAAAAGGTTTTGGTGTTGTTTTTAACAATACTTCATATTCCGCCAAGATGTTAATATTCTACAGGCTGCTGTTGTACACAATATACATGAAATAAAGCACCAAATCATACTAAGTAATTATATGTAATCATACTACTGGAACTGTGTGTTACAGTAGCTCTTGTGCCATGGTGAAAAAAAAATCCTTCACTGCAAGGAGAAACATAGGCTAGAAATAACAATTACTCCAATTACTTACAAGAATTAGCATGGGATTCTTAATGTACATTTGAACGAGCACCAGAGAATGGAAGGGAACCCACTTTGGCATAGTCAAATGAGAGCATTAGTAACATTGCCTGAACACTGCATTGTAATAACACTCTTAAATAATGTATTAGTTCATCCCCTACTTACTGTAAGGAACATGAACAGAGTTTGGGTTCATCCAAAAGAAAACCGTTTTCTGTCATTTAAGCATTAACACTGTTCCAGGCCGAATCTTACTAGCCGAGGTGATCTCTTTTTATTATTTTTATCCAAGATAATGAAACTGCAGATGATCCTTTAATTAGTAGAATTTTAAAAATGATTTGTCTCAATATTATTTTTGAACATCACATTTATTATTCATTTTAAATGCAGGTTCATCACCATTGAGTGTGTTTGCTTTTACTTTCATTGCCTATTCATGTTCTATTAAAATATAAATACTATTGAGACTGAAAATCATTACACCATGGTTACATTACCTCTCTAACCTTAAAAGTTCTTAGCTTTCCCCCCGCCTCAATTGTTCCCAATGCACATGTTTGTATTTTATTGTAGCATATAGTATTTTATTGTGTCACTGAACATCTTTACTTTCACTGTTTTCCAAGTAGGAGTGACTTCAGTATTACAGCACTAACTCCTGTTCAGAATTGAATCAAACGTTTTTTCTTTAAAAAATGCCTTCCCTGAGGTTATCACAAGGATTCTAAACTTCATATTACTGGAGTTATTGTTTATTAGTGGCTTAATAAAGCAGCGATTAGTGCATCCAATATGGACTGAGGATGAAGAAAAACAGCAGGAAACAGAAGAGGGCCAAAAAAAACATGGGTAAATACTTGCTCTTGTGGTATTTTATTTGTATGACTGTACATCTGCAGGCCACAATTGAGACTGGGGTACCACTGTGCTCAGTTTATAAATACACAGCCAGTTTCTGAGGAGCTCATGATCTACATCAGGGGTGTCAAAGATCCAGTCCATGGGCTGGATCTAGTCCACAAGGCCATGTCTTACAACCCTGGGTGCTGGCCCCAAATGGGACCAGTCTGGGACACCCCTCTCTTTCCCAACATGCTGGATCCAGCACCCACAGTACCCACTCCAGCCAATGCAGGATGTAAGCCAGACATGAGGAAGAGAGCTCTGCAGGTCCCCAACATGCCAGATCTGGTGCCTGCTCCACGCAGTCTGGTACTCACGCTACACACAGCATCCACCCCAAACTGTATGGTGTGGGCACTGAGTATAGTTCACATCCCAATCCAGCCAGAACTGATGCAACGTGCAGTGCTGCATTCACTGGGATCTGGCTTGCAGGGGGAGGGGGAGCAGCGGAGGTGGCTGTTGTGGGCCTGCTCTGGCCTGCAGGGCCAGCTCTTCCCAGTTCATTAAACCTGTGGACCAGTCCCATGCCACTCTCTAGCCCATGAGGCCAAGTCAGTTTGACACCCTGATCGATCTACAATAGTCAGAAGAGAAAATAAAGGGAAGTGACTTACTCAAAACCATACATCAAGTCAGTGGAAAGATCAGGAACATCATCCTCAGCCTCTCAGATCCCAGCCTGAGACTACTCCGCATTTTACCGTAATGTCTAGTACTGAAGAGCTTTCCCCTTCCCAAGCCACATGCTCATGTAATCTGATTAGAAAGATATACTTTCAGTCTAATGAGTTGATTCAGAAGTTTAAGATGTACTTAGATTCATATACATATTTCTGTTAACTAGTATATTTCAATTAGTTCTCAAAATATCATTTATCCTCCCATTATTATGGTAAACATTAAAAATGGGAGTGGATACATACTATTTCACAGCAAATGAAACAAAAGAATTGACATCATATTTTGTTTAGTTGTTTTGCACCACCATGTTACAAGATTCAGCAAAAATTATTTGCAAAAAACTCCCAAAACAAAACCAACTCCCCCCCCCCCCCCAAAAAAAAAACAAACAAAAAAAAAAAAAAACACCAAACACCACTAGTAACTCTCTTGGCCAGTGCTGTTTAGAGTGATTGCTTCTGTACGCAGGACTACTGGCACTATAGCATACACATTTTGAATGGAGTCAGGAGAACTATTTAACAGAGAAAAGACTGGCACATTCACGTGCTAATCCCATCTGTTTATTCTCCCTAAACCCATCCATGACAAGGCAGTGCTTCAAATATGCTTTAATATTTGCAAGATCAAAAAAATTTTGTTTTCATTATTTAATATATTGCTATAGAACTCAAAAGATTTACTAAAGTGTAGCCAATGGTAAATGCTTTTGCTGTTGCAGCCATTAGCTTCACCACTGCACTGCATAGAAAACTATGGTGGGAACAGACAACAAGAAAAACGTAGTCAAGATGTATTGGGCAATATTAGTCAAGGATAATTCTACCCTGAAAAAGGGGCTGGACCAATTGACCCTATGAGGTCCCTTCCAGCCAGACGCCAGACCGTCCTGTGAGCCTAGGATACTAGTTTATCATTAACCAGCACTTAAATTGGAAGGAAACATAATTGTGATCCACCTATCTGTATCATAAATTCAGGTTTTTCACTCTTTTTTCAGGCAGCAGG